CTAAAAGCATAGTCATTCACTTTGGATATAGTGTGAATGATCAGAGCCGAATTCAGAACCTATAAAATGGGGATTTTTTTCTGTTCAGTTTTTAGAAACGTTTTTATATTTATTTTTAGTGTGAATACAACAAGGTCATAAATAATTGTGGTAATACTCAACGAATCAACCGTTCTTTTTCCAATGTTTTTTAAAGCTGACTGACTGAATAACAAATACGAATAACGTGTAATATAAATATGTTTGTAAATAAAACATACATTAAAAAAAAGATTGACTTTACTTGGCACACATAAAAAAAAGAACAGGCAAAATGAACATTAAGCGAAAATGTACAAACAGACTATAATATTAAATTTTACGTATAACAATCATCATCATCATAATTCCAGCCCTTCACAAGTCCACTGCTGAACATAGGCCTCCCCCAAGGAATGCTACAAATTATGGTCCTGAGTCACCTGCATCCATCGACTTCCTGCATGTCTTACCAGGTCGTCACTCCATCTAGTGGGGGATCGCTCTACACTTCGCCTACAGGTACGGGGCTGCCACTCGAGAACCTTTTTTCCCCATCGGTTGTCGGTTCTTCGAGCTATATGGCCGGCCCATTGCCACTTCAGCTTACTAATCCGTTGGGCTATGTCGGTTACTCTGGTTCTACTGCGAATATCCTCATTTCTAAACTTATCACGCAGAGAAACCCCGAGCATAGGCCTCTCCATAGCTCGCTAAGCGACCTCGAGTTTCCTCATATGGCCAGCAGTGAAGAACCACGTCTCAGATCCATAAGTCATTACTGACAACACGCACTGATAGTACAATCTCGTTTCCAGGTTTTGAGGTATACCTAACGAGAAGATGTCTCGTAATTTCCCGAACGCTGGCCATCCGAGTTGAATCCATGGATGAACCTCTCGGGCGAAGTTGGACTTACCTAGTCGGACTATTTGTCCCAGGTACACATAGTCGTCAACAATGTCGAGCTTAGTGCTCCCAACAAACTACTAGGTGTGACATGGACGTTAAACATGATCTTTGTTTTGTCCATGCTCATCTTAAGACCTATCCGTTGGGAGACACAATTGAGGTCATTCAGTATAGTACTTATATTCTCCAGCGGTTCTGCCATAAGGACTATCGACTATCGTCGGCAAATTGAAGGTGAGCGATGTACTCACCATTGTTGTTAATAGCTTATCCTTTCCAGTGCAGTAGCTCGAAAACGTCTTCCAATGCAGCAGTGAAGAGTTTCGGGGATAAATAAAATATAAATAAAAATATCACTACTATAAAGTATGGACAAAAATATCACTTATATAAAAAACGCATAACATAAAGTATCGCAATCAATAACGAATTTAGTTTCTGTATAATTCTTGGACTGTCCTCATTGTTTTAACTGAAAATAGATTTTTAAGTTATAAAAATATGATAAATAATATATTTTTATGTACCAACCGTGTGAATATATCAAACCAAAAAACTAAATTTATATACTTATTATTATATATATAATTTTTTCATTGATTCATTCAGTGATCTTATCTCATTATTGTTAAAAAATCTCCCGATTTTAATAAATAAAAGAATTAAAATCATTTTGAATTTCGAAAATAACAATATTTAAATCTGAATTATTGTAAAAAAGCCTTTTTAAGGTTATTACTTTAAAATCGCCAATCAGCACGTTTAATAACCACGGAGAAGAACTCATGTTAAAATTAAACGACAAACAGTTGTTGCTAGAGCGGCAATTATGACTTAATATCCTAAACTACAACTCGCATAATCTTTCTAGTATCAATGTGAACCCTGTTATGAAAGATTAACCATCGTTGATATTATGAAATGATTCATAAAAATAATTTAAACTAAGAATTATGTTAAACTGCTATTAATAAACAATACGGGCCTTAGTTCTCCAGAACTTTGGTAACCTTCTGACTTTGAATTCGAAATGCTGATTGCACATAGTCAGGTGGGCTGTTAATGAAGTACGGCTTTTTTATGTTCAACTTGCTATTCCCCGCGACTTTGCCCGCGTGTAATTTATTACAATTGGATTTCATGGGTTTTAATTTTTTCTAAAATAAAAGTAGCCTAATTTACTCCTTATAACATCAGCTATCCGCCAGTGAAAGTCCCGTCAAAATCGGTCCAACCGTTTCGAAGATTAGCCGGAACAAACAGACAGATATAAATTTTAAAATTTATGTTTTTTTGTAAGTACCGTAGATACATTCATATGCATTTAGTAAAAAGCAACACGCACTGGTTGTACAATGTTGTATATCTTGACATTACAAACAGACACTTCAATTTTATTTATTTGTTAAGATTAAATTATTTTCTTATTATCTTTAATTAAGACTTCTATTACGTTTAAGTGATATTAAACAATGTTTCAAATGTCCAGTGAAGAGGGTATTATTGTTATAACGAACTACGATGTTAAGTACGAACTTTTGCAATATGCCCTCGCCGTTGGCTGTCAATATTTCCTCTTTAATAATCCTCTTGGCCTATATCGAGATCCCAAGCAATGTCTTGTAATTAAGTTCCAAGTGAACCCGGGCTAATTGTAAGTTATTTTGTGTACAATATATCGCACCCAATATCTTGTGTTGGTGTTGCCAATTAATATTTATAAAATACTAGCTGTTCCCCGCGACTTCGTCCGCGTGTTATTTGGGGTTTTATTTATTTTGCGCGGAACCCAAATTCTTTTCTTTTTCAAAAATATAAGTAGTCTAAGTTTCTCTTAGTGACATCAGCTATCTGCCAGAATATGTATAATGCCAGATAGGCAACTGCAAAGAAATGTTTTCATCTCTGTGATATACGAAAAGAAGTTCAAAATCTCTCTTCGGTCTTCATTACATTGCGTTACGTTCTACTACCTAACTCATGTTCTTTAATTTATATACAAATAGATTAAGGATGTTATTTGAAATTTTGCGGAACATCTCACTCTAGTTAACTCAACTTGAGAATTCAAGTACGAAACTAGACGAACATTCCACTGCAATTAAACTTTTCAAATTCAAACTCTTAACAGAATCGCGTCGAACTTATGCTGTCGGCAGTAGTGGCAATAGCCAAACTAAGATTGTCGAACAAATTCATAACAAACGAACTTGGTTTAACATTTTCCATACACTTTAACGATCGTGATAGCTTAGTGTGTAAATAAACGTTACAATTCAATCTCAAAGGAATAATTGTTTTGGCATGATTTACATTTGTCTCAGCGGTTTGAGAAAACTTAAATGTTTAAGAAACAAAAATATTTTATGGACATGATGACTGCATTTGATGATAACAAGACAAGTTAACATCGCTTACCATCATGGGATAGTAGTCAAACACTGGCTTATAGCAGTAAAAAAGACCGCCAATATGTATGATTGGGACAGCACAGTGGAATCTTTCCTGCTTGAAAATCTGTCTCAGAAATCAGAGGTGACCAACTGTTGAGTGCGCTTACCACTTGTAATAGGTTAACTCTTTGCAAACATTCAAACATTACAACTAGTATCGTTAAGATACGAGTATTACACACGCATATGCACCAGCCTTAAAGCTCACGAGAATCATTACAAATAATGTCAAAATAACTCTTTAATGTTTAAATTTTTCTTAAACATTAAAGAGTTCTTGTATTGATAAATTTCACAGATCTATTTTATTTAACTTCCCATTTATCACAGTTTTCCAAAGCAAACACATTCTAGGTAATCACCTAGAAAGTTACGAGCACTATCTATTAAATGCATTACATTAAATTAATGCTAATTACAAAATTTTAAATTCCACAAACAATTAAAAAAAATCGGAAAACAAGCAAAATACATCGTCGTTAGTCAGCATCTGCTGAACGTAAGCTTAACTAATACAAATTAAAACATTTGCCGCAATGGCAAAGTTTGACGTGAAGAATGCTCATATCAGTACAAATAAAAAAGGGGTGCTTGTCACTGATCTATTTGTCATATTTCTTTTATTAAAACACAAGTGGAAAACAGTAATGAATTTATATGCTTTATATTTCCATTTGTAAACTGCCTCTACAATACAGGGGAAAATCCTAGTGTGGTGGGTAACGTTTTTTAAAAATAATAAAAAAAAATTGTATGGTCAAACGGGGGTGATGATGTCTTAATATATAGGTCTTTCTTAGGTTATCTTTTCTAATGATTCTTTTAGAGATTCAATCTGCTCCCGGGGACTATTGAAGATATGATAATGATGATGCTCTTCTGGTTCTTATCGGCCATAGTCACAACTTCCGAGAATATAGAAAATTTCACGCGCTAATAAGCAACCGACAAACTGGATACTACTTCGGGCTTACGTGACAAAATCGGTCATAGACTAGCCGGTCACAGACTAGTGTCAGAAATAATTTTATCATCTTAGACCTCAGAGGTTTGAAGTTGGCTGCAGGTGTATATGGTGTACCTACTTTTTTTAATAAGATAGGGTGATAAACGCACACAGTCCACCTCATGGTAAGTGGTTGCTATGGCCCATAGACATCGTTTGTGAATCAAAACGCTGATGCGTTGTCACCAGTGAGGACTAAGATGGAATGCCTCTTTTCCAGTAAAAAAAAAGATCTCCGGTTCTCTACACACACCATACGAAACACAGCCGTGTTAGGCTGCTATTTTACGCTGGTATTCTGTGAGAGCGTGGTCCTTCCCCGGTCGTGCTATAACTATACTACAATTACAGTTCCAACATGGCACTACCACGTAAAAAAAATTAGCATTAGATGTACTGTAAGTCCAGATATCATTTTAGTTTTATAAAAAAATAATTACAATCACAACACAGGCGGACCTGATTATAAATATTTTTGTTTTACACGAAATGTTGGTACTGCGTGTGATTCAAATCCGGCATCCGTGTCATAAGTCTTTTAATAGTATTTCATATTATCGTATTTTTTAATTTATATACGTATGTTTGAATTTTTATGTTCGTTGTTGCAGAAGAGATCTGGCTCAAAACTCTTCGGCCGTAGCAACAAGAGTAACTGTAGCACTGAAACCTTAGAACTGATGCACCATCCAATATACCGCATCTTCTACGTCTCCCACGACAGCTCCGATCTCAAGATCTTCTCTTACATTGCAAGGGATGGCGCAACGAATGTGTTCAAGTGCAACGTTTTCAAGAGCAATAAGAAGGTATGTACGAACACGACATCAAATATGGTGCCGCTAAGTCATAAATATATTAATATGAATCGAATATTGGCACATAAGAATGATCTTATGGCTTTCAATAAAGAGAACTGTAACCATCTTGTTTAAGCCAGACATAAAAACCCAGAACGACGACGCTACGTTAGCAATGTCATAGGTGCGAGACGTCTGGTTATTGCGATCGTCAAACCACCTACCAAGCGTGGAAAATATCAGAAGAAAGTCATATTCAGCCCAATCGACTATTACCCATTTTTATATCAAATAGTCATGTGTGATTTTCAATACTCATTTTATTTGCACTTACCACCATCAAATAGCTGAAGTGCCAACGAGCTGGCCATATAGCTCCAAGTATTGACAACCTACCTACTCCGGATGTCAAAAAAGTCCTTTAATTAAGTACTTGTTGTCTAAAGTTGAATACATTAGAGATATATACTATAATGCAATGTAATGCACACAAACCAAAATTAAAGTTATATTTTGTACCATATTTGCTCGCAACTAGAAATAGCCTATTTAATAATACCTACTTGAAAAACCTTATCTGTTTACATACTGTTAACATTTAAAAAAAAATCTTCAAACTCATGATCTCCGAACAATTTTATTCATTTAAGTAAATCGTGTCAAAACACTAAATTATAACTTGCAACTTTACTATATTCATTGTTTACATCCATTAAGTCATTTAAATAATAAACAAAATATTTTATTTCGAAAATCACGGATATTATATTACATAGATATCATATTAAATCAACCTACTTAAAATTTAAAATAAATAAAAAATGTAGAATATTTTTTTATCTTTTTAAATACGTTACCCCCACACTAGGATTTTCTCCTGTGTCGTGGAGGCAGTTTACAAACATAAATTGCACGAGGACAAATATCCAGACCCGGAACAATTATTTGTAGGCCATACAAATACATACTTGTTTCCGTGCGGGATTCGAACCCGCGGCCTCCCGCGCTACAACTCATTGCTAAGCCACTGCGCCACAGAGCCGTCAAAATATAATAATGTAATAAAACCCAAATAACAAAATGTTAACTATTGAAAACTTAAATAATACTGTTATAAATATAAATGCATAGAAAATATCCTGACCAACGAGACTGTCGGTTTATCAGATTAACCAGTTTCACTGTATTGACTGCCAAAAGACTAAATTGAAAAATGTATTGAAACTGAAAATCAATCAAAAGCTTATACGGTAACTGGACAGCGGTCCCCATTGTTATTTGCCTATATTGTCCAACTTTAATTGAATACAGCTTATCGAAGTGCAGAAATTGCATTGAATATTAAAATTAAAACAAACATTCTGCATTCAATTTGAACCATAATGTTATTTTCTCTCTCTCTCTCTCTCTCTCTCACACACACACACACACACACACACACACACACACACACGCACGCACGCACGCACACACACACAACATTGCATTTTAGTGTACTAGTAGGATAGCTAGTATACAGACTGAGACTACATCGTAGTGTTCACAACAATGCATGTTTCTTTCACGCTTTCGCAGTACCAGATGATTCGCACCTTTGAAGCCACCGCCGTCGCCAGTTATGGTATTTTAAGCCTGACGGAAACCATTTATAGGAGGATATAAGAGCTTTGTGGCATATTCCACAGCTGCCTCTTACGAAAGCAGAGAGATAGAAGGGGGAGATGGATTTTCTTGAGGTATTACCACACAGTAGTAGTGTAGTTGTACCACTTCTAGACCACCTGAGTCAGACGTGGTTCAACGACGTTCGTCGACGCCCGATACTAAAAAAAAAAAAAAAAAAGGTTTTGGCATGCTCTGATCACGAATCCGCGGTCCATTTTTGTGTAGAATGCACGGTTCCGGAGATGTGTAGATCACTTAGCTAATATCTAATTGATATCCGGTAAGGGCCTCCACCGTCATTAGCGTCCCATTGTTCCTATTTCTATTGTTCTATTGTTCCTTAATCACCTTCATTGCAGCGTGTGCGTCGACTATATCAGTGCTATTGTGTTATAGTTCTTTGTTTATACAACGCTAATCTGAATCATCAATAAAACACATTACATAATTTTGTTACAATTTTTATTTATAAAATACAAAATCTTATTAATTATTATCTATAAAATAGGAGCGAAACATCTCATCCACTAAAATATCGTTGTACAATGTGTTCCTTGTAAATATACTCGTAAAACTATGTATTGAACATCCTTGAAACTTATATAGTAAATACATTAAGCAATATTCGCCACAAACTGAAGTCCACTCATTCTGAATCCTATCAACATTCCAGTTCCATCTTTTACAATTCCTTTTTAAAAACTCTAGATGATATCGTACAGGTGATCGTCCATATGAATCAAAATATTGACCGACGTCATTCGTATCGATATATAAAGCTACCCAATGTGACCCTGGTTTATCATCTGTATCCAAATTACATATTATATACGTTGGTACGTGGGTATACATAGGCAGTCTATTAGCTGCATAAACATTATTTTCTAGACTGGGGTGAATCTTTTTCAGATGTTGTTGTACATCTAGTGTATCCATGATATTACTGCTATTAGTAGATTATTACAGTACCTAGCTACTCAATGAATAACATAGGAATGGTCAATTATAGTGATTTCTACATATTAAATTGCATTTTTGTGATATACAAATCGTACTTGAGTCATTGATCACCAAACAAAACACAATACGAAGAAATGTTGAGATAGGCAACGGAAATGTGAGATAAACTGATATGTTTCTAAATATTAAATTGCATTTTTGTGTTATACAAATCGTACTTGAGTCATTGATCACCAAACAAAACACAATACGAAGAAATGTTGAGATAGGCAACGGAAATGTGAGATAAACTGGTTGACGCATAAAGTAATTATCAACTCATTACGGAAATACTTTAGATTAGAATTTTTACGTACTGGTGGTATATAAGACCAACAAACGCAGTCATCGAGTTAGTGTACGGTCGTTTGGCTACAGTGGATCTATCAATAGTACATTTGTGTTACTTCAATACACCAAAGGCTATGGATGTAAGTGTTTATTCTATTGACTAAATTACTTTTTTTCTGTTATTTTCATGTGTGTGTATTATTTTATTTAAATATTGTGTATGTATATGATTAAGCCGTGGTAACTCAGATGGTTAGCGCTAGCTGTAAATTTCACAGTACGCGACCCGGGTTCGATCCCCGCCAGCACCAATTAAATTGTTAATAGCAATTTTAAGTGCTTATTACCACGTGCTTGGTGGTGAAGGAAAACATCGTGAGGAAACCTGCATGTCTGAGAAAATTTCGAAGGCATGTAAAGTTCGCCAACACACATTGAGGGAGCGCGGCGGACATTTCCTTGCTCTAAAACCCTCTCAGAAATGAGAGGAGGCCTATGTTCAGCAGTGGACTTTAATAGGCTGTAACTTTAACTTTTTTAACTTTTATGATTAAGTGTTAACAAATTGATATTAACATGATAACTGTGTTGTTGCAGAAATCATTGAGCTTCGATGAAGATACCTATAAACAGTATTACTACTCGCCACTCTCCCCTCAAGAAGAGAGTGATAACCTCGTCATTAATAATAACACATGCGATGGTGGAAAAAGAAAATCGCAATCGATTGATCATTTTTTTGAAGCTGAATCAAAAATAAAAAAGAGGAAGGGAAAACTTCAGTGAAGTGTGCACCAGTGCTTTTTTCTCCACAATCATGGAAGAGAATACGGAACTATTCAATAGCGAATTAAATCAGGAGTTGTCTAAAGTTTGTGAAGAAATGGAGAGGGGTCAACTGTTCGATTCGTCATACGATGATGAGTTGTATCATCACTGTGCGATGGTTGAAACACAGTTTAAGTATGTAAAATAAACATTCATTTCGATCATAATTTACATATTGTCTTATACAGTTTTTAATAAATTTAAACATTTTAGCAGTCAACCACTACAACTTGGAAGAGGAACGAAGCGAACGTGCAGCAAAGAATCCAAGATCATCAAAAAACCAACAACGGAAGCAGAAGCGCATACCTCTGCAGGGAACAGTATCAGTAACGATGATCAAGTGGAATGTCCAACGTGCCATATATTTATCAAGAAACGGTATTTAGCTAATCATTTTAAAAGTAATGTTCATAAAAATAATCTTTTAAATTCACATAATTCTTTATCAAACGTTAGTGTTATTGAATCTGCTTTTGGAAATAGGATTTTAACTTATAAAATCAAGAGTAGAGTAGATCGTTCGACATGGGTAAATTTTGAAACTCCTGAACTATTTTTAAATTCTATTAAAGATGATATTTTATTTTTATTACAAGAGTGTATTCATCAACACATAATTTTTAAGGTAAACTTCATATTGCATGCTGATTTTGTTCAACAAACTAAAGATATTCATGATACGTTCGATTTTCAAACGCTTAACTATATTATTTGTCAAGGAGATGACTTAAATATTTTTCTTTCATCTTTAAATGATACAATTACTACTAAAATTAGTGCTTTCGAAAAAAAAGATAGTGGATGGAGTCTAAAAAACATAAAATCTATAGACATGAATGTTAATAAATTTAACCCCCTACGCGGTACTTCATACATAGATCTTCCTCGTGACATAAAATTAAAAAAGGCTGTTATAAATGTAAAAAACAAGGATTATTTTTGTTTTAAATGGGCGTTACTCTCGGCGTTATATCCTGTAAACAAACACACCGATCGGGTATCATCGTACGTTAAACATGCAAATAAACTTAAATTTGATGGTATTTCCTTTCCGGTTAAAATTTCTGACATAGCAAAAGTAGAGAAATTAAATGATATTAGTATTAATGTTTTTGGGTTAGAATATAATAAAGAAAAACGATGTAATTCTATAGTAGGTCCATTATTTTTAACAAAGTGTCGTAAAGATAGACATATCAATTTATTATTTTTTTCCAAGGATA